GGGGGGGGAGGGGGGCTGGGGGCTCTAATGCCCATTATGCCTCAACCAATAAGGAAACACGCTCTTGCCTCAACTGCATCAAGGCGAGCAAGAGGTGATACGAAAACTGCAAGTTCGTAGCGATGCGCGCCGGTGCTGGGACGACAGCAGAGTAGCAGCTATCAGCGCACTGCAGAAGGAGGGGCAGGAGGGGGAGGAGGCCGACGAGAAGGGACTGAGGCGATGCGTGGGCATCCACACAAGTCGAAAGCCCCCCAGAGTACTCCAGAGTGCCTCCAAAACGCCCTCGGGAGGCCTCCAAGGCTTCCAGCAATGCCCCCCCCCCCCCAGAAGCCCGGCCACGGACCCCGGGCGCCCTCCATGGAGTCTCGTCGCCCCTTCCCACCCCCTCCAGCTCTTCCCTCCCTTCCGCCCAGCCCCCGCCCAGGAAGAAAGAAACGCAGCCGCCGCAGCTTCTTCTTGGTGCCGGCGGAACGGCGCACGGCCGCTTGATAATAAAGGAGGGGCGCAGCAGAAGAAGAGGCGCGGCGGACACTCGCCCCGCCTCCTAGCTGCTTCGCTGCGTCCATCCCGTGCGTACGTGCGTGCTGGCATTTTTGAACCAGCGGCCCTCTAGTGTAAGACCGTTGGGCTTACGTACCCTCCCCTCTAGACCCTTGCTGTCGTGGCCTTAGAGCACGCTGGCCCTCAAGAACTGATCGGCCACTTCTGTAGACAGGTTGTTCATCCAGCTCGTCGTGGGGAGCCCTCCTGCCCTCCACGAGACTTGACAGCAACTGTTCAGGAACCCCATGGCCGCCAAACGTTGCCGCGCTGCGGCGAAGGAGGTGGAGAAGGAGGAGGAGAAGGAGAAAGGGAGGAAAAGGAAAAGGAAAAACAGGAGGAGGAGGAGGGCCAAGCTCGAACACTGAGGTTGGGTAGCCAGGGGGGCGCCGCCGCGATGCTGGAACGGGTCGCCTCGGATCTCGCGGGGGGGCAGGAACGAGGAAAAGCAACACCACCACCACCAGGGACCACGCGCGGGGGGATCCAGGGGGTGGGTGTCCCCCTGGTGGTGAGGCGCCCCCCCGTCTCGCTCGAGATATCCCCTACACCCAGCTCGGGGAGGCACTGTGGACCTCCCCGCTGGAGGTCGACCCCCTGGTGGTGGTGGTGTCGCTTCTCGTTCCCCCGAGGCGGCGGGGTCAGAGGTGTGTCTGCTTCCCTGAATTGTGCCACGGCTTTCTTGCGGGAGCCCTTATCGATCCGCCGCCAGGCCGGCGCCAGGCTCACGTTCGTTTCGCCAGGCGCGCTTAGCGAATATGGCGCGGCTTGAGGGTGACATGCCCTGGGGCTTAGCGAGCGCGTCGCGCTGGGCTCGCCTGGCGCTCTTGGCGCACTCGAGACTATGTGGCGTGCCTGTCGCACTCGGCGCATCTGGTGCGCTGGGCGCACCATTTTGCGCACCTGGCACTTCTTGGTGCTCTTGGCCCACTGGCGTTTGCCAGGAGGGTGCCTTGCCCATCGTGCGCACGAACCAGAAGCTTCGCTCCAAGGGAGGAGCCAGGCTGAAGGGGGTGAAAGGCCAAGTGGCGAGAGCTCCCCGCCATCGCGAATGTTTTCCTCTCCGGCGTTCCGACGTTGGGCGGAATGGGGTGGGATGGTCTGGCTCTGGACCTCTGCCCAACGCGACTGTTTGAAACGGTGCGTCCTGCCGGAGCGTGCGTTAACAACGACCGCGCAGGAGCTAGCCGCCGAGCCATATCTCCACCCCCATTGCACTTTCCCCACTCACGCGGCGTCGCTGGCAGCGCGGACACAATCGTGGCCCTTCCGGGGAAGCGTTCGGGCGCCGCGCTCCCGTGTTATCTGGTCAACATGTCACTGCGCGCGCGGGTGGTCCCTTACTTCGCACGCGCCGGACTTGGATAACGCAGTTGCAAGGACCCCACGCGCCCACCCACAACATGTTCTGCGGAACTCATTCGACCGCGATCGCTGGTTTGGCGCAGCTGAGGCGGCCGCGCGAGCTGCGTCCGACGGGCACTTCCCAGCGCGTCTCGAAGGCCGCGCTGGCGCGCGGGAGCTCCACTGCGCCAGCGCATCGCGCCGGTCGGAGCCGGCGCCCGCAGAGTCGCCCGGCAGCTACCGCCGGTCGCCTGGACGAGACGCTGCGCGGCGCGCGCGCCGACTTAGTAGCAACCGTGTAGTAACCGGTCGAAGCCGCGTAGAAACCGAGTGCTTTTTACATAGGAACCGCTGCGAGCCTAAAAGAGTTTTGAATCATAAATTTTGTCAGGTTGGATTCGACCAGCTTATGCGCAAGAGAAACACGCGGTTTCTAGCGGCTCCTGCACGGTTTCCACGACACTGCCGCGACAGCGATGCCATGGGGCGTTCCCGCGCTGGCTGGGGCGAGCGGCGGGGTCAACCCTTCACACCCTATTCGCTGCATCTCGAGCGCTTTGCGCGGTGTTTTTGCCCATTCCACAATTCGCGGCGCCGAGCGAAGAGACCGGGGCGTGCGTTAAAAACGACCGCGCAAGAGTTAGCCGCCGAACCATATCTCCACCTCCTTGCACTTTCCCCACTCACGCGGCGTCGCTGGCAGCGCGGACAATCGTGGCCGACTCCGGGCACTACAGTTTCTGACCGAACTGCCCCAGGAAGATCGCCCCAGTCGGGGAGCGGCCGAAACGAAAAGCAGCGACGCGCCCATGCGGCGGAAGCGGACCAAATCGCCGCGCCGGGACGAGCGCGCGGCCCGCGCCCCCGCCCCCCCCCCCCAAGCGATGCAAAGCTGAGCAACGGAGCGACGCGACGATGTCACCCATGAGGTCCACTGCCGTGGAGGAGGAGGAGGAGGAGGAGGAGGAGGAGGAGAGGAGGAGGAGGAGGAGGAGGAGGAGGAGGACAAGGGAGGAGGAGGAGGAGGAGGAGGAGGAGGAGGAGGAGGAGGAGGAGGGAGGAGGGAGGAGGAGGAGGAGAGGAGGAGGAGGAGGAGGAGGA